CCCCCCCCCCCCCCCCGCGGATCCCAATGACTCGCGAGAATCTTTTTTTTTTGCTTACAAGGAACAGCAAATTCAGACGATTCTCCAGTCCGGCATGTAGCTCCGTTATTTTATATACTACTCGATGTGTATATATACATATATACCTGCGCATTATACAATATACATACATGCTTCACGTGGGATCTATTTATGTTTGAAACGCGCGCGTCGTTCGGATTTTCGTTTCCGCGGGACTGACTTCGTGAAGGAAAAGCGATCGAGAACTGTGGAGGAACCTATCGCGAATATTCGTTGTCATGGTCCACATCTCGAACGCTCGGTTCTTTCTTCGCGAAAGAGAGAGGAAAGCTTCTCGCGAGTCACGGCCGATTGACACGAGGCCCAAAAGTATGATGGAAAGTAGTCCCCCTATCCGGCGCCCGTGGTTCGTCGACACGACGAACCTGGGTACCGTTCTGTTGTCCCCTGGCTTCTTCTACAAGAGAAGAAAGAGCGTAAGAGAGAGAGAGAGAGAGAGAAAGAAAGAGAAAGATTGAAGAAGTGAGAAACTAATAAGAAGCTTCCCCAGCTACCCCTGCCCCCAAAGCTGTTAGTGTTCAGGTTGCGACGACGATGACTCGTGCTTGCATAAAGGACGAGGAAAAAAAGAGGAGAAAGAGACTTCACGCACGGTGGAAACTTGTAAAAGAAAATACAAACAAACAAAAAGACATAAGCGACCGGATGGTATATGTATTTACCCTCAAGCACTCGTACACTATTGATCAGATCGCGGACCGTGAATTGAATTTTATATACGAAAGACGATGAAAACACACCTATACCCAATCCAGACACACAGGTACATACGTACATGTAAACACAGAGGGGACATACACAGGACAATGACACGCAGAGGACAGAAAGGACATAACACACACACACACACACACATACACACATACAATATATTAGCGGGTCCCTCGGCAATATTTTGTCGGGCCGCGGGGACGTTTTTATAATGAAAAAGGTTTTGGATCTCCGATTTAAAAACGCCAAAAAAATACTAATAATAACGATAATGATAAAATAAAATAATAATGAAGTAACGTAAATAATGATAAATAAACGGAGCAAGTGAACGTTGTGTTTTTTTTTTCCGAAGCGAACCAAATGAATCTTAAATAAATATAATGGAGACTCGTGACTCGGCCATACGTAACGTAAGATAATAAGACAAAAGGGCTACGTGTTACCCTCGACACATAAACACAATACACGCCACCCCTTAAGAGAAAAGAGAAACGAGGAGAAATCCTCTGTTTGTGAGATGCGCGAGAATAAAATAACGATCCGCCACCAATTTTGTCCATTTGATGATTCGAGAGAGAGAGAGAGAGAGAGAGAGAGAGAGAGAGAGAGAGACCTAAGCAAATGAGATATAACTCTTAAATAAGCGAACGATTGAAGTAATTAATGAACAAACAGAAAAATACAAAAAAGTGTTTATATTCGAGGCAATATTTGTTACAATACAACTAAAATAGAGGATAAGTTGTATACACCGGTATTAAGGGGGCTCAGTTTAACGCAGAAGAGCGGAGGGATCCTTTTTTGTCGATCGCCGGAACAAGAGTGAGAGAAAAAGACATTACGGAGAATACCGAAGGAGTACACACGGTGTAGTGTATATCGGGGTAAATGTTTTCTGAGGCCGCGTGTACGAGAGGAAGACGGACGCAGTGACGTATCGAAGAGACAACGCGCGCTACCTGTTTAACCGACGAATTTCTACACGAGTCGCGCGTTGCTGTGTGCGTGATCGAGTTTCACGTTTGAAGTAGAGATGATTGTCGATCGTGAAAAGAAAAAAAGAAAAAATAATGGTGATAAATAAAAATGTCGGCGCGAAGGTGAAACAATGGTACTAAACTAAGGAGTTAAGGAACAAGAAATAATTAATGAACAACAAAAATATATATATATACATACACGCGAATACGTACGATGAGCAAACGGCGAGTGGGAGAGAGTGAGAGAGAGAGAGAGAGAGAGAGAGAGAGAGAGAGAGAGAAAGAGGAAGGGTATTTAAAAGAAAAAAACACAAAATAAATTGCACACTAGAATCGATGTGCTCGATGATCGTTAACATTTGAGCTATTTGTTTCGTTGTTTTCAATATCAATTCCTGTTCACGGATTGTGTTCTGATCTATAGATTTAACTCGTCATTCATTTCTCCTTTTTATTAAGTCTCCGGAGGACTGTAAAAAAGAAATTGTTTTTACATCACATTCTCGTATTTTTATTATCGGTAATATTATTTAGAAGAACGACTATTATTATTATATTACTTATATATTATTATGTTATTATTATTACAATTATTATTGTATTATTATTAATTGTCGCTATTGTGTATATATATATATACACAATTGTAACAGTGTATAGGTTTCACGGTAGTGTAATGATACATCACGTTTTATCCACGACGAACCTTGGAAAGGATTCCGTTCTTTTTTTTCGTATAGTGAGCAGGACCTAACGCGTAAGGCATAGCAAACAAAAAAAAATATGCAAAAAAGATGTAGGGGTAAAATTTAAGCAGCTAGGACCTCTTGTAATCATATCATAACGTTTTTTGTAGATAATACATTACACGTGATCTACGGAGTACGGCGTTTTTAAATCAAGAGCGTATCGTCTCTCGGTAACTCTCTCGTGTGCTGCTGACTACACGGGTTGGTAAAAGAAAAAAAAAATAGAGAAAAAACCGACAAAGAACGTCGTGGAAAAATTCTCGTTTGGATGTCGTGTACGATTTTCTTTTGTACTTCTCGATCGTGTTTTTCATCGTTCTTTCCTTAGCCAATCGAACGAGAAAAAAACGTACACGCAGCTTCACGTCTGGCTGAAAAAAACGTAATTCTTTGAAAACGAATCTGCAGCTACAGAGTCGCCCGATACTCATTTTTTTTTTTTAACCACGACATGAATTAGACATCGTTTTTTCAAAGTTTCATACACTTCAAGCATACGATGTGCGATAGGATTCGTGGTATGAATCTATAAAATTCGTGCCCATTCCTGATTATAATAAATATGTATTCCACGGTGGCGATAAAGGAACAAACAAGTAAATCGGGAAAACTAAAGCAAAATCAGAAAAGCCAGAGAGAACGAAGGGGTGTAGAGATCGACGCGTTGACAAGGGAAAAAGAAAATGGTTCGAGTAGACTGGGGATGCACCATTCGTTTTCGAGGAATTATATGTACAATTGTAGACATTTCGTTTTTTCGCTACGGATTTTAGAGCCGACGCCCTCCTGACGAGAAAATTAACCCCCCGTTCCAGCGCGCGACGCGTTACGCGATTTATAAAATGAAAATCATTACCCAAGAGAGCAACAACACGAGAAAAGCACGCGTGGGCCAGACTGTCGCTTATTTTCTGACGCTTTACCTTGCACACCATGTTTCGACCGTGGTCAAAGTGCAACAAGTTACACGTAGTTACACGTTACAACGAACCACACTTCGAGAGAACACGATAACCCGGGCTCTGTACACCGCAAATCGAATCCCGTTTCACACATCCCCCCGCCACCGCGAGCAAAACATACTATTTTTCTTTTTCTTTCCGTTCTTCTGTTCGTTTCTCGCGACAATAGGTCACCAACAACTTTACATTTAGCTCTTCCCACCGTCGTCCGCCATTTTGGATTCTATCACACAAATGGATCCGAAATTTTATGTAGAATCGAAACACAACGGACAGAAATGACGGTGAACCTCCA